CTGGGTGTAGAGATTACTTAAAAATAAAACCTGGGGTGCCTGGGTGGCTCAGTCGTTAAGCGTCTGCCTTCGGCTCAGGTCATGATCCCAGGGTCCTGGGATCAAGCCCCGCATTGGGCTCCCTGCTCTGCAGGAAGCCTGCTTCTCCCTCTCCCACTCCCCCTGCTTGTGTTCCCTCTCTCGCTGTCTCTCTCTCTCTCTCTCTGTCAAATAAATAAATAAAATCTTTAAAAAAAAATAAAACCTTTAAAAAAAAACCCGCCATCCTAAAAAATCTTCCTGTTTACAAAAGAAACAATGAGCTGTTTGGGGAAATAGATAATGCAGTATCGTACCTTTTCCCCATCCTATAAGTTCTGTCTTAAGTATTTGATAAGTGCAGTACTGTGGCTTTGCTTACAAAGCACCTCAAATTTGTGGGCTTCAAATTTCAGAATATATGGAAAGTGCCCAAAAGCCAGAGGAATTTTTATTTCTTGCCCTTATTTAGTCCTTTTATTTTAATACTGATTTTATTTTATTATTATTTTTTTCTGACTTATTTTAAAGTGAAGAAAGATGCCGTCCAAATGAAGCCCAGGTGTCGCATAGTGATTTTTTTTACAGACATGTTATTCACAACCTTGACCTCCAGAGGGAGCAAGAGGGTTATAGTTAAATAGGAATTGTTCCTGAAAAAGAACTTTATCTACTCTCCTGTTCTCGCCCCTCCACTCCCTTGTCTTCCCATTCTCTTTTACCCTACCTACATAAACATGTTGATTTTGAAGAATCATGTCTTCCTTATCATTTTCTATTTTCCTGCTTCTTTTGTGTGACATCCACATAGGTTTCCCTAAACCCTTATTAAGCATATCTGTTTTCTAGTTGTCAGCCTTCCATTCCCCTGTGGTGGAGGGGGTAACTTGCTGTTTCAAAAGAGTGATTCTCAAGGAAGCCAGACAGAAATTTGTTTCAGCAATTGGGGTATTTCTTTGGAAATAGTATTGGTCCTTTCACCCCCATCACTGCGCTCTGCCCCTCCCCCTACTCAGAGGGGCCTACACATTCTTTTTTCCTTATTCCTACCCAGCAACAGAAATGTTAGAGTGTATGGTGAATCTCTAAACCATAGGTCCATTTTGGGTAGTCAGAGAGCCCACCCTTTAGGTGGCTTCTGGGCTGAAAAACTGGTCCATCCCAAGGTCCTTTGTTGATAGAAAGGTCAGTTATTAGGGAGTGCTTTGTTTGTCCATGATCTCCGCGATGAAGGATCCCAAGTGTTTATTTTCTCTCAGATAAAATTCTGTACAAAAATGATTACCTAGTTCCCACATACATATTTTCTCTCTCCTCTGTGGTTGTAGCTAAAATCTAGATGGGTTTGTGATGACTGAGTCTGGGCTTTAAATGTTACACTGAATCTTGAGAGCTTGCCTTGAGGTAGATTTGGATTGGGTCAGGATTGTTCTTTTTGTCCCCCTTGTCCTAACTTAGCTTGACCTACAGAAGCTTCCACCTCTGGTATAGTCTGTGCATGGACCTACCTTTCTTCATAAAGTTTTAGGCACCATCTGTATGCTACTGACTCCAAAGGTTTTATCATCATCTCTGGGCCCCCTTCTAAGGGGCCTGTTTGACATGATCACTTAAGACGTTTAATTGAAATTTCAGATTTACTTGGTATAAAACAGAATCCTTGACTTTTCTCGCCCCTGTTTCTTCCCTAGTATTCCCAAACGAACCATCTGTCTATTACTCACTTAGGAGTCATTCTTGTTTCCCCATTTTCTTCACCCCCTATGATCTCATCCTTCAGCCAATTCTGTTTTAATTCCAAAATATTTCCTACATCTGCCTACTTTGCTCTCTCTCTCTCATGCTCTCTACTTCACTTGAGCTTGCTACGTTTCTCTGACATCCAGACTATTAAGATAGATTCCTAATAGGTGTAATGATGGCAGTGACTTGGAAAAATTTAATGTGCTTTTCTCTTTTTCCCAAATATATGCTCAGAGAGGGGATAAAAGAATATAAACCGAGGGGCACCTGGGTGGTTCAGTTGATTAAGCATCTGCCTTTGGCTCAGGTCATGATCTCAGGGTCCTGGGATGGAGCCCCGCATCAGGCTCCCTGCTCAGTGGGGAACCTGCTTCTCCCTCTCCTCTGCCCCTCCCACCACTTGTGCTCACTCTCTCTCTCAAACAAATAAATCTCTTAAAAAAATAACAAACAAACTGAAAAAGCTAAGATTTGGCTTCTGACATTAAAAAATAGGGTCGTACAGAAAGACAGTAGACTTGAAAGCTAGACTTTGGAGGGAGAGAAAGGATTTTATGAATGTTTTTAGTGCCCATTTACATAGCAGAGATCAGGACTAAAAGACTAGATTATAAATTTCTTCCATAATACTTAGACGGTCTGTACTATTCACCATTCATGCTGAGTGAGTGAGAAGGCTATTCAGATGATGGGGCTAGGGTAATGACACCTGCACACCTGCCCACATCGATTTTTGGAGGAGGAAGACAGAGGGAAAGAAGACAGGAGATAATGGTCAGTTAAGGATTCTAATCTTCCCTTGGGGCTGCAGCCCAGAGGGAAAGAGAAGTGAACTAAATACCTGGAGGAATACAGAGGGCAGAGGGGCTCCTCGTTGGCTTCTCGTCTGGGACACTGGGAGGAGTCACCTGGAGGCCCTGTGAGGGGCCTTCCTGGCCAACCCAGAGGGTGACCACACGTAAGTAAGTTCAGAGATGTGGTCAGAGAGAGTGAGGATCTCATTTGTGTCCCCAAGCCTTTGTTCTTCCAAGGCATGAACATGGAATTTTGAGCCACCAGGGCTGGCGTGGGCCCACTGTGGCGGGGGCTTCGAGGCATTCAGAGGGGCCTGTAATGCCAGTGAGAGCAGAGGTGACTACTAGCCCCACCTGGCTGAGAGCTTGTACAGACCAAGATGTAGACCAGCTCAGCCTCGGCTGCAGCCCCTACAGACACCATTGTAGGCTAATGACACGGGGGACAAGGGACATTGCTGGGGAGCCAGAGGACCCTGCATGGTTTTGAGGACTCTTTTCCCACCAAATCCATAAGGTCATGCATGCTTCTCTCCCTCCATACACCATCCTGGAGGGCAGGGGTGGTGCCAAGATCTAGAGATTTAACATGTCTAACCAAAGAGGCTGAGTTTTACCTAAAAAGACTATTTACATCACTGTGTTGGCCTAAGGGTTCTCTCCCTGCTCCTTTTATTTTCCTATAGTTGATAGGAGCTAGTGAGCAAGAACAGATCGGCTGTAGACCAAGTGGAGGTCTGATTTCTCCACACACGTGGGTTCTGGGCTGAGTTCATTGTAACCCTGCTGCACCGGTTGCTTCTGCATCACTCTTACCGCCCCTACAGTGCCTACTCCACACAGGAAGCAGAGCAGGATCATAACACCTTTCTGCATCTTCCAAAGTCTTCCCGTTGGGCACAGAATGAAGTACCTCGCCTCAGCATACAGGGCCCCATATGATCAGGGCCTCTCTCCTCTCTGCCCTCATCCTAAACCTTGTCCTCTGAGCTCCAGCTCAGTGGCCCTTCTGTTGCATGAACAAGCTCTGCTCTTTCCCATCTCGAGCCTTCATACTTGCTGTTTATGCTGATGCCTTCACTTTGCCCTCTCAGACCCAGTGTCCATCCTTTCTCACTTTGTTCTGTGACCCCGTAGGCTGACCTATGAATTACATCAGTGGACCTGCTAGTGTTCTGGCTTCCTATTGAAACTGGCCAACGGGAAGCACTAGCAGGGTATCAGATAGGGGGAGGGAAGAGATACTTATTCAGGATATTTATTCTCCCTGCTTCTTCCCGGCTAGGTCACTGGGGATTGGCTGTGTCCCAGGAGTGCCCTGGTTTCCCCCACCTTTGGGAGTTCCCACTCTCTCTCTAGTTTCATTAAACTCTGTGCTTTTGTCCAGAGTCCCCTTTTCGGTGTCACCTGCTTCCTGCCAGACCTCAGCTGTCACACTCTTCTGCACGCTCCCTTCTGGGCTCTCTGCATTCTCGTTTCTTCTTGAGTCTCTGCTCAGATGTCACTGCCTCAGGGAGACCTTCCCTGACTGCCTCCCCATCTCACTGCCCACCCCTGTGGCCTGCCTCTCGTCCTTCACTCTTTATCACCACATATATTTAATTTCTTGCATTACAGGGATCAAAATCTGATGTTATCTTTGTTTTTGTTTTGTCTTGTTGTTTTGTACTGGTCTCTTTGATTAGGACTGTAGCCAAGACGAGCCAAGAAGCTTGTCCGTAACTCCCTCTTGTGTCCCCAGTACCTAGAATAGAGCTTGCACGTAAGCAGGCAGCCAGTGCATGTTTTTTGAGGACATGAAGGAAGAGCTGATTTTTCTTGCTCTTGAGAAGCCTGGATTTCAAGGCTGGGTGTATGTGAGGGTGTCAGAGGCAGGTCAGGAAGTTGTCTCCTTTCCTTGTACCTTTATTGCATAAGGTGCTCACAGCTTTACAACATGCCTAAATAGGCTTAGAATTTCGCTACTCTAAACAACGCTCTTCTTTGGAAAACAAGCCCTATACATAGTTACTCCCATCCAGTTGGTTCAGTTTAACTACTCGTTTCTAGAGGCCTGGTACTTGCAGTTGATAACTACAGGGGATAGATTTAAAAAGTAGATCCTAGACGGTGAGAATCGTTTTAACCAACAGTTCTCTTTTAAACATCAAGGTATAGCTCAGAACACTTCAGTGACAGAAAAAATTTGGTCTTACTAAGGAATCCGCTTGGTAGCTAAACACTTTAGAGCACACGGTTCACGTTAGGTTACATACACCTCACAACAAATGTTACGTTGTCCAGTTACAAGAAGCCAGCATGGAACCGGGGAAGAAAAACTAGCTGGGCTTTAGGTCCTACACGTCACAGTAGCACACTCCGAAAAGAAAGAAATCTTATCTTCCCCTTAAGTAGTTACTGTCATGCCATACAGATTCTTAAAATGTTAACAAAAATAAAGAAAAACACCCTTGAAAATATATTATCAGAGGGAATGAAGATAAAGTATCGAATATATGTACAAGTAATGCTCAGCGGCGCTTAATCGACTTCCTCCACGCGGGACGTGTCATCGTCACCCTCGAGGGGCGGCATCTCTTCGCTCACCGCGTCACTGCTATCGTCAGCCGTGGGGTCGTCTTCGTCAATACTGAGACTGAGCTTGATCATTCTGTAGATCCGGTTAGCATGTGTCTGGGGGTCTTCCAGACTGAAGCCAGAGGACAGGAGAGCAGTTTCGTAAAGCAGGATGACCAGATCTTTCACAGGCTTGTCATTCTTGTCGGCCTCTGCCTTCTGCCGTAAGGTTTCAATGATGGAGTGGTTGGTGTTTATCTCCAGGTGCTTCTTCGCGGCCATGTAGCCCATGGTGGAGTTGTCTCTCAAGGCCTGGGCCTTCATGATCCTCTCCATATTTGCCGTCCAGCTGTATGTGCTTGTGACAGTGCAGCACGGGGAGGTCACCAATCGGTTTGACACGACCACCTTTTCTATTTTTTTCTCCAAGATGTCCTTCATGATCTTGCACAGGTTTTCAAACTTTGTTTTTTTCTCTTCCTGTTTCTTTTTCTCTTCTTCGTCTTCTGGAAGTTCCAAGCCCTCTTTGGTAACAGACACTAACGTCTTCCCCTCAAATTCCTTCAGCTGTTGGACACAGTACTCATCGATGGGCTTGATCATGTAGATCACTTCCAAGCCATGCTTCTGAAGATGCTCCACGAAGGCCGAGTTCGCTACCTGATCCTTGGTCTCACCTGTGATGTAATAGATGTGTTTCTGGTTTTCCTTCATTCTGGTGTAATAGTCCTTGAGGGAAACCATCTCATCGCCAGAAGTAGACGTATAGTATCGTATAGTACTATTTGCCAGCTGACTCAGTCACCAATACTCAGGAAGTAGGAAAGAAGATACAGAATAAGCCCTTTGAGTGGAAATATGGTAGTGTCACTGTAACTGTCTAATACCTCTGTCTCTTTTACCCAGTTTAGGTGTGTCTGGTCTCAGCTGCATATGGAAGCCGCTTTGTGTTTCTTTGGAGTCTGGGGATGGTGCTGAAAGAGTACCTCAGAACTTCTTTCTGAGAGGACAGTTTTGGGATGCCTGGGCTGCATAAGGAGAGCAGGGCAAGTGCCTAGTGGAGGCATGCTCAACATTAGCTGATTGTCAGAGTCCCCCATGGAACTTACCCAGCTCTCTGGTCTGTACCCCAGGCCACAGAGTCATACGTTCCAAGGGATGGGCTCAGGAATCTCTACTTTTTAAAAGTTGCGCAGGTGTTTCTCGGATACGGGCCAGGTGAGAGCCACTGGACTGGCATAAAGAAGAGGGGCTTTGCTTAGCCCCGTGAATTTGAGGATCTAATTATGTTGTTTTAAACTTCCTGAACCATTAGCACAAGGCTGGCTGATGAGCCAAGTCCATTTTGTGTTTGAGTCCACCGATGTTTCCTCTCATGTCTTCAGAATTATTTCTCAGTGGCAATAGGGGTCTTGAAAACTTGTCATTTGAAGGCTGGTATTATTTTTAAGAAAGTGAAATCTGGAAAGGTTAGCAGACTTCTTCGGCCACCGTGGCCCTGAGGCCACTCCTTCTCCTACTAAGTTATACTATAACTCAACAGCCAATTGCATAAAACTTTTTTAAAATGTGACACCCACCTGGTCCCTGTAGAGTTTTCTCTTGTTCCTTTCAGTGGTCACGGATTTCCATAAAAGGCTACTTCATCAACCAGTTTGGTGTTGTTGTTGCAGGCGTCTGCGAACCAGACCGATGCATGTATTGGCCCTCGTCAGCTCTGGTCCTCCATGTACATTCGTGCTGTAAGATTTACAGTCATGTCACATCTGGGATCCTGTGGTAGATATCTCCCATTTGTATTATGCCATGGCTATTTTGAAAATTTATTGAAGTAGAATTTACGTATAAATTATACCAATTTAAATACAGGTAGTTGAATTTTGACAAATGTATGTACCCTGTAACCACTACCACAACCAGGACAACAAATATCTCTTTCACCCCAAAATGTTCCCTCATACGCTGCCGCGGTCAGTCTCTCCCTCCACTTTTGGCCCGAGGCAACCACTGATCTCCTTTCCATCACTACAGATTTTGTATTTTCTAGAATTTCACACAGATGATACCCTCCATAGGCATGATTTTGTGTCTCATTTCTTTTACTCAGCATGTTTTTATTTTTTATTTATTTTATTTTTATTTATTTCGAATTTATTTGAGATTGTGTGCCCTGTGAGAGAATGCGCTGGGGGAGGGGCAGAGGGAGAGGGAGAAGCACACTCCCTGGGGTCATGACCTGAGCTGAAGGCAAATGCTCACCCTCCTGCCCCTTGAAACCAGGTAGCTTAAGCTTAGTATGTATATTTTCTAGCCCTTCTATCAATATTCATACAACCATGTCCACATACAAGAGAGCCCAGATGATTTGGTTTGTAAAAGGTCATCCTCCGTGAACACAGACTAGAACAGCAAAGGGCTGAGAATGGATTTGGAAGGGCAAAGGGACAACAATCAACAGAGGTAGGAAGGTATTCCTGCTTAACCGATGAGAAAACTGGGAAACTCAGAAGGCACCTACAAATGGTCACTGGCCGGGGCAGCCCTCGGTGCAGCTCTTCTGACTCCAAATCCCACATCTCATTTCCCTGCAAGAGGTCTTTTTGTTTTGTTTTGTTTTGTTTTGTTGCTCAGTAAAATTTTGGAAGGCCCCAAAGGCAATGAAATGTAAGGAAATTTAGGACCTGGAGCAAAGATGATGATGTTAGTGATGATAATGGGGATGGTGATGACGTTAGCAGCCGTGGAGGTGTGGAGAAGGATGGTAGCAATGGCGAAGGTGCTGGCCATGGCGGTGACAGTGATGATGGTGATGGTGGCGCTCTAAAGAATCCCACTGAGATCCGGGGGGACTGAAGGGAACCGGAAATAAAACCTCATCTTTTTACAGTGCTTTCATCTATTTTTTCTCCTTTCAGCTTTATAACAATCCTTCGAGGTGTGTATTATCATTCCCATTTTAGAGGAGGAACCTAAGGGCAACTCAACCATTGGCAAGAGAAGCGGGTGATAAACATTTGGTCCACTCTTTACAGTAAGGGGTTGTGAAAATCAACAAGCGTTTTAGTGGCATATATGAGGCATTTGACAGATTTGAAAAATATTCCCAATTTTTCACAATTTTTTTTCTAATTTTTCACAATTTTTTTTTCTAATTTTTCACCCTTAAAAACAAATTTTCTTCATGCCAAGTTGTTGCTATGAAAGAACGTGTTGATCTGTATTCATTTGGAGGGATTTCTGTTTGTTGTTAATGTTGTCCTTAGGTGGGGAAATAAAGATGCAGATATATGTATATAGTAGGTTCTGTTTTCATTAAATGAATATTAAACATATTGATCTCTGGCTTCCAGTTTGGTTTGGCTAAGCTGAGGCTGGTTTTCCAGAGATGAGCAGGTGGAAGGAGAGAGGTCAAGGGGTTATCCCCCGACTCTGGCCTGCTCCCTCTTTGCTTGGCTCTAGTCTAGGCAGGGGATCACCACTCCCACAGGTCTCCCCTTTCCCACAGCGTTGACCCTCAGGAGGTCCCTATAAGGTCATTCCTTCCTCTGGCCCCTTAGGCTTGGGGTGGTGACTGCCTCCTGCTGTTCCCAGTTGGTGGTGGTTTTACCATTCCCTTGACCTTGCCCCATGCCTTTTGTGCCCATTAATTAAACTAATATGGCTCAGCTCCTAACCCTTCTGTGCCCCACTTTTTGGTGCTGGACCGGGACTTTGCAAATGACACCCCTCTGTGCTAGTAGCTCCCTGTCAATTCTGCCAACACTGGGCGCCACAGGGAGCCTGCATGGCCGAGGAGGAGGAAGGACCTGGTCCTCCCTTGGCTTGCTTTTCCTGTTCTAGTGCCCTCACAACAGCTAGGATTTCCTGAACCATTAGCACAGCTGGGTAACCTGTATCAGCCTGGCAGCGCCTCGGAGCTTCCGGCTTATAAGAGCCCCAAGCTCATCCCTTGCTTCCCTGGCCAGAGTAGAACTAGCCTCTTTCCACACTAATTTCCCTGTCTGTCTGTCTACCTACTTACTTATTTAGTAAGTAATCTCTACACCCAGTGTGGGGCTCAAACTCAGGACCCTGAGATGGAGTCTCGCGCTACCCCGCAACTGAGCCAGCCAGACGCCCCTGTGCGGCTTCTCTACAGTTAACTTTTCTGTGTTACCTCAGGGCGCCCTTTCACATATTCAGCTCTCCAATGCTTTTGTTCTTTTTTCTTTCTGTGGTAAAAAAACACATCAGATAAAATTTACCATCTTAACTATCTGTAAGTGTACAGTTCAGGAGTGTTAAGTGTGCTTACATTGCTGTGAAACAGAGCTCCAGAACTTTCTCATCTTGCACAGCTGAAAGTCTACCCATTGAACATCTCCCCTCCCCCCATTCTGTTTTCTGTCCTTATGAATTTGACTACTTTCGATACTTGATGTAAAGATCTCCAACTCTTTTAAACTAATTCTTTTTTATTAAAATAATTGGCATAGTTTCTGTTTTCCTGATTGGACTCTGGTATATCTCTATAAGTTGTTCCTTCTTTAAATAATTTTCAATTAAACTCTTTGAAGGTGCCCCTTGATTCCTGTGCATTCCCAACTGATACTCTATCTGGAGAGGAATAACAATTGTTAAAATAACAATAAAGGTGAAAGCCCTTTTAAAACCAAAAGCACTATATATTATTACTAGGAGTAGTAGTAGTAATATTCCACATGAGGCCATATCTAAGCTTCCTTTGTGTGTCGCTTGAAGCACTAATATCCAGAGAAGAGGAATGACAGACACAAGAAAATGCATGCAACCTCAGAGTTTCAACAAACCCCGTGGCTCTGGGCCTGAGGATCAGAAAGAGAAGCCAAATGGGAACTGTCCCCTTTCCTGAGAGGGTGTGGGGAATATAACAAAAGCCCATATTGACGTTCACAAGTTAACATAGGGAAGAAGCCAGGGTGTCTGTGTCCTTACATGATACAGAGACTCTGGCTCTGGTCAAGATGAGACTCCAATCCCACATGTCAGCCCCCAGCAATTCATTGACACCTCAGCATCCTAATAACGTCAGATGAAAAATCTGGTTGCTTTTACAGAGTAGGAAAAGACTGGAAAATCCCAACCGCCAGCCAACTTACAAATGCCAGAAATTCCTTGTAGCCATAGCCCTGGCTAGAGATGTCCCTGGCAGTGTGGGTCCCTCAACCTCTTTAAGAGGAGCCCTCCTCTCTGAGGAGGTCAGATTTTAGAATGAGGCCCCAGTGGGTCTTGCCCAGGGGCTTTAAAGGGGAAAGGGAAGGGGGCTGGGGCAGGAAGTACTGTGGGCAAGTCCAGCGAGGAGGGCCTTGGCTTTTCTGAATAGTGCCTTGGTTGGCCATGCACTCTGGAGAATACGGTCAATCCCTGCCAGGAAAGAAGGACTCAAAACACAAGTCTGAGTGAGAGTAAGGCATTTTCTGTAGTAGCTATTAATCAAGAAAACCTTGAGCTCCAAGGACAGGATATTACTCCCTTCTTAAACTATTTGACTGACTTGGTCTCTTTGTATTTGGGTAGGACTAGCTATGACAGAAAGCTCACCCCCATGAGTTTTGTGGCCGGATGTTCCAGAACATGCACCTGAGCTACTTGTCCAATGTCCAGGAGCTCTGTAAGCCCTGAGAAATTATTTGCCGAATTGTGTGGGTACATGGGGATCTGGAGCAATTTTCTATGACCTATAAATGTCGTCTGATTCATGAAAGGGTCCATGCCCCCTCTCTGCCTCTCCATCCCCAAACCGAGAACAGCTCTAGACTATGAGTCACTGGAGGGCAGTACCATAACTTTCATCCTGAATCTCCAGCAGCATCCTGCTTGGCGTGCTTTGTGCACAGTCTTTGAGTATTTACTAAATCGAACATTTGTAAGCAGACTTGAGCTTCTAGGAATCTGCAATATAGAAAGTGGGCTTGTGATGGGTGACCCTTTCGGGGATCTCAGTGAGAGTTGCTTTTTTTTGCAGGGTGGCTCTTTCTATAGGGGTCTTGAAATCAGAGAAGAGTAAACACTTGTTTAGGGGGCCGCATGCCAGTGTTGTTTCCCCCGCCAACACTGTAGGCTTTCTTTCCAATTTCATCATCTGAAACATCATAGTCTCTTCCTGTCTCTACCACTCAATGAGGTTATTATGGGGATTCATGATAAAAATGAGAGGAAGGAATTTTATCATAAACTCAGTCATGGTACTCATATTGATAAGTGAAATAGGAGTTGATCACTTGCTTTCACTTCCAGGTTGTTGGAGGGATAAAAAAGAGACAAATTGAGGGAGGAAGAAGAGATGTAATGAGATAGTTATTGAGATCATAGTAAAGTGTTATGACCTAGTGTAGGTGAGCGGGGAAGAAAGATAGCTTTGAGTCCTTCACGTTAAGACAGAGAAATGGAAATGAGTCAAAACATTATGGGAAGTGAAAACACTGTTATTATTTTTACCATTATCCTCTTCTTAGTTTTTCCTTTTCATTTTAGTTATGACTGTTGGTCTGTTGGAGACATTGAGATATGGGGGGTAGGGGTAAGGAGTGGGAACTATATTTCACTGATTCTAGAGCACACATTTTCCACCTTCCAACATCTCTGGGAATCAAATGGTGTCTGCTAAATTCAGCAGAGATGCAGTTATTAATATTGCCAAAACTTGGTCATTGCTGCTCATATTGTCATCACTTGGATTGAGGGAAGTGTATTGTTGTTACTGTAGGTGTTGAGTTGAACTGCCATTTAAAAGGTCCTCAGAAGATCACACTGTGATTTGGCACAGAAATGAAAAATGCTGTTGCAAAAAGGGCAGAAACAGAGCAGCAGGACTTGAATTTAATATTGGTGAAGCAGATAGGCATGGTTGGAGGAATGAACAATTGCCTAGTTTTTGCAGTCACAACCGACTGCTTTCCGGAACCTAAGAGCAGAAGAGCCATGCCTCAAGTAGAAGAAACTCTAGCTGAGGTCCACAAAAGAGTTAGCCATCCTCACAAGCCCAGCCAAGTGACAGGAGAAACTGCTAACTCATGTCAGGGGGATGAAAGAGACATCAAAGCAATGAGAGGCTTGCACCACTGCCGAAGACTATGGTTAAGACGTGTTGTCATTAAATGGACAGTGTTTTCTCCTGTGGTGTATAAGAAAAGGTGTGTCTTACAATTAATGGAACGTGGTACAAAATGCAGGCTTAAAAAGTTCAGGGAACCACTACCATTTTACAGGAAAAGACATACCCAATGCCGCCTCAGCCGGTGGGCCCACAATTACGAGATTCAGCATAAGGTTGGCTGATTGTTGACCAGGCACTGTGTGAGTAGGAGGGGGAGAGAACCTGTCCTCTTAGATGTATGGACTTGAGATGGACAAAAGATTTTTTAAA